CGGGGGGGGGGGGGTTGTCTTTCGCAACGAGGAAGCCCCTTCCCCCGCTTTCCCTCCGCCGCCAGAAAGCCAACTCTGCCGCCAGGCATTATCGCCAGGAAATAGGAGGCAAATCCACGTCCCCCATGCCGCCGCCGCCCCGGAGCCTTAAGTGATCGTCGCGGGGCCGCGCTCTTCTCCAGCCCAACCGGGAAGAGCCCTCGTCGTCTGCCCTGAAAACCGCCTGGGCTGGCTGGCGCTTGTCCTCCAAGCGGTTCTTAAATCCCTTCTGCCGACGCCGCGGCGGGTTCCAAAGGGCACCACGCCAAGGTCCGCCTGGGCTGCTGTGAGCCCGACCGACCCAGCGGGCGGCGTCTCCAAGATTCGCGCCTTTCCTGCCCGCAGCGTGATTGAGACACTGCGATCCTAATCTGAGCGGGAGCAGGGAACGTAACAGCTGATGCGCTTCTACTACAGTATTATCGTTCCCTTTGGTGCCACTGCCTCGGCCTGATCCTCACGAAATGCACGAGGTCGTCCGAAGAGAGTCCCCCCTCCTCACCCGCAAAGGCCATTAAGTCCAGATCTAAAGTCGCTTTGCTACGCCCGGGCGAACTTGATTAGGAATGAGGATCCTTTTTCCCCTAGGCCAAGGGCTCCTAGATCCGGACTGCAATACAATGAGCTACTTGCCGCCATCTCCCGGCCGCCCGGTTTATTGCAGCCTAGATTTAGTAGCTCTGCGAAAGCCGGCACCCTCCAGCCGGTTTTGATCTCCCTCGCGTCTCCATAAGCTGCGGACTATGGGAGTTGTGGTCCAACACACGGAGGCCACCAGGTGGAGAGGGGTTGTGTAGCTAGTGAAGAAAAAAAAAAACCCCTCTGCGCCTGCCTTCTGCGAATACGATGGCCTACAGAAGGTTTTCCTCCCGAGGAGAGAGGGCGACCAATGGAGCCTGATTTCTGTCTTGGCCACTCTCCATCTTGCCGGGCAGCAGATCTTGGTTTTCCTACGGCCCGAATTGCCTGGCAACCAGATCGCCCATCAAGGCAAGCGAAAAGCCAAGCCTGAATATTGGTCTCATGCCTTAAACCAGGGTCCCCTCAACTCTGGGCAAGTGCGGCTTATCCACTCAGGTAAAGAGGCTCAGGCAAGGGAGCCTACACTCCATTGGGACTAGGCCCCACAGCCCAAGAGAGACTTGAGCTGCTGGGTGGGGATGGGGTCTTTTGATTCAAGCAGAGTCAAGCCTCCACTGCCAGTTTGCCATTCCGTGGAGCTATGCCCGTTCTCCCCTAGCTGGAAGGAGGGCTGAAATCACAGGAGCCCTACCCTTACTTTGGAACAGGGTGCTGCGAACTCCCTTCCCTTACAATGTGATGGGCTGGCTTAAAATTCTGTGTGTTATGTGAACCCACCAGCCAACTGGGTGGATTCAGGAAGCCACAGCCCGGTGAACTATGAGGGCAACCCCCGCTACGGCTTCTGACCCTCCCGAAGCCTAGCTCTGGAGCTGCCAAAGCTGTTCTCCTGCCCTTGTTTCATGGAAAATGACCTTGGGAAGGGACTGGAACTCCTTCCAGTCAATCTGGAAGCCTGTTCCATTGACTTCAGGTTCCAGGGGACACCTGGTTTGAGACCCTCACTTTAAGCTCAGCAACCTCTCCTGGAAAATTCAAACTCTACTAAACATAGCAAGGGGAAGCACCGAAATCTCTGGAACTCACTTCGGAGTGAGCCTGGTCTGCAAAGCTTAAGGCTCTCAGACCCAAGTAAAAGTTTGAGTTACTTTCAAGGGAAAGGAATTGTTTGCCGCCCTTCCAAATGGAATAGATGGGTTGGGGATCATGGTCTACTACATTTGCAGAATGAAGTCCACACAATTAATGGGAAGCAGGCACTCACGACCCCCTCATTTGCAAACTCATAGTCGTTTATTTGAAAGTAAGCCCCACTGAGTTCATTGGAGCGTGATATTAAGTAGATAGGTACAAGGTTGGAGGAGAGGGTCTAAATCCCAAATAAAACGATTGCACCCCAGTTTACTTATGTAATTTGGGGGAAGGGAGAGAAGACAAAGCGAGTTCCCAGATGCACTTCCGAGCAGCCCTTACTTCTCATGGCAAGTCTATCGATTTCCCTGTCTTTTCGCACACACCCTTTGGGTCGGCACAGCAGCTAGAAAGGTGTCCGGAACATATAAAAAGTCGGAAAAAATGCTCCCCCCCCCCGCCCCCGCCGCTTAGCAGGCGCGTCCTACCCGGAAAGAGACCTGTCCCAGCCTCGCAAGCAAAGGGCTTGTTTCCTCCAAGGCAAGCGCCTGGGCGCGGCCGGAAGGGCTGCCCGCAGCCCCGCGGGAGGAGAGGAGAGGAGGCTTTGGGTCCCGCCCGGGGCACGCTGCTTTGGGAGATTCTCCCATCGAATTCAAAGGCTGCGTTCGCACAACACGGCAAACCGTGGTTGACAGAATTCTCCGCCCGTCCTGGTTCCCTTGCCATAGAAGAAGGCCGGCCACCTTCGAGTATAAATAGCCCGGTGAGATGAGCCGGTCTGGCTTGGCAGGAGCTGTCTCGAGGGAGAGCAGCGCGCCTCCCAGCAACCAACGCCGCGGCGTAAGGCGCCCTCCGGCTTCTCTCCCCGTGCGCTGGCCCTGCCCCTCTTTCTTGCCACACCAGGCAGAGAAGGGGGAGTTTTGAGGACAGTCTTTCCCGCTTTGAGGACAGAAATAGGGAGCCGAAGCCCCGGGAGCTTCCGCCGTTCTAAGCGTCGGCGTTCAGAAAAGGAGGCGCGGACTCGCTGCTTCCTCTTGGGCCGCAGTGCGGGCGCGTGGCTATCGCGGACTCGCTTCTGCATTAGAAACCGCTGGGTCTGGGCTTCCAGGAGACCTGGGGACAATTTCCCGGGCTATATAAAAATGGTTCATCAAGGAAACAATTATTTCCGCTATTGGATCATAATAGCCATCTCCATCCAATAACTTTAAATGTTGATCGGGTTTAAGTTCCCAGCTCTATCAGTAAACCACCATTTTTTAAAAACTTTACAGGGAAGACTCCAGGAAGCTATTGCTGCTGAGTTAATTTTCCAGATACCACCATAGCAAGCTTGACCACTCACTAAAAGTAATGTCAGTTACTTTTAAATATTGAAGGAAATGTAATTGCAGCTACAAGTTAATGCATATCCATTCCAGTATCAAACATATGCTATCCTAAAACAAAATAAATCTTTCTTTGGGTGGCATTTTTTAAAAAGCACCAAAACAATGATCTATCAATAATTTTTAGTGCAAATTTTCTGAAACTGAACATCTTCAGAGGTGAACCACAGCTCCCATACTCCATTGTAGTAGTTGAAGGATCTGGACGATTGCCTTTCTTAAGTTTAGGGAACCCTGATTTAGAACATCAATTCCATTTAGAGGATTCAGTTATTGTATTTCTGCAGTCTTTTGGACTGAATGTTTCAATTATAGGATAGCTACTTTATTTTCTGTACATTTAAAGTAGATTTTGAGTTTCGCAGGATACCTGATTACAATGTTACAATAACTTGATTAATCCAATAATTTGTATTTTAGACAAAAATCACTTTGTAAGTTGTCTCAGTTTTCAATTTATGTACATTTCTTGAGTGCAC